GTGATGTAGGTGTTATTATTATCCCCATTTTACAGATGAGGAAACTGAGGCTCAGAGAAGTTAAGCGAAGTGTCTAAAGTTACATATCCTGTGAGAAGAAGTGCTTGAATTTGAAGTCAGGTCTATCTGACCCCAAAGACCTTACTGTTATTTATGTCACAGTAATGCTGCAAGCATGTCCTGGCTCCAGGGACAACAAGAGGAAGGAAAAGCAACATTCTTTTGCGGCCAAGAAGGGGTCTGGTCTCCTGAAGGTCTGTGCCCACACTACTTACCAGAGTGCTGGGTGAGGGTGGCAGAAATTATGTATCCCAGATGTTTCAGGCAGGCAGCCCTTCTCCAATATCCTCACATGTGCAAGTTTCTGGTTGGGAGAATATAGCCTCCAAGCCATAAATAATCTCCTCTGTAGCTCTTTTGCCCATTCATCCTCTATCTCTGTTTCCCTCTTTCTCCCCCCTCTACCTCCCTTGCCTTCCCAACTCCTGTGCCCCCCACCTCCCCCCATGCTCACACTTTCTCTCTGGGAATAAGAAGGCTCTTCGTCCTTTTTAAACTTGTTTATATGCCTAACAAAAATACATCAGGACTTTAAGTTCCAGTTCTGGGAACCACTAAAGCAAGTGTGCCTCCTAGTGAGAAACACGGTCAGTGGTCCTTCAAGATTTGACTCTGGCCTCACCTTCCTTGGGAAAACTTCAAGAGTGGGAGGTGGAGGAGGGGAGAATTCCTGCCTTGCCTGAGAACGTGCTTCTGAAATCAGGTCTTGCGGGGTTTATTTCTAGTTTCTGTAGGTTGTCACTTATATATCAGAGCTAGAAAGGACCATAGGCATCAGTTAGTCCTGCAATTTCTGAGCCTGGTGAAGCATCAGACTGGAGGCTATAGTGTTAACAAGGACTCCAGGTGATGAGGAACAGCCCTCCTGGGAAGAACTCCTTCCAAACCTCATGCAGCCTAACCCAGTGGTTCTCAACCCTGGCTGAACGTTAGGACCAGCTTGTGCCCAGGCCCTATGCTAGACAATTGTCGGTGAAGTCCCAGCACTGGTATTTTAAAATGCAACTCCTTCCCGTACCCCGTACCCCACACCCCGTACCCCGCACTTCTGTAATTCTACTGTGCAGCCAAGACTGAGAACCAATGGTTTATGTTGACAAATACCTACACTGGAATTTCGGGTGCTTATAAAAGATGGTTTCTAGATCTTGCCTCAAACCTACTGGATCAGAACCTCTGAGGAATAGGTCTAAGAACCTGTATTTTAAAACAAGGATCCAAGGTGATTTTCATGAATAGTAGGGTTTGCAAAGCCTTGGATGACCCCTTCATCTTTAGAGGAAGGCAGAGGGGTCCCAGGAGGTGATGAGCTGACCCCAGATCTTGCAGCTATTGTACAGCAGGACAAGCCTAGGACTCAAGTCTCAGGAAGCCCCTCTGGAGCCCCTCCCACCAACTCTGGAGCAAGGGAGGTGATGCCCAGGCCTGAGTTCCAGGCTCATAAGCCAGACGGATGGACTCATTCTTCCTTCTGTTGCTTATAGTCCCCTCTCCTCAAAAGGAGCACTTGGGTACTCTCAGTGCCTCCAGGCAGGTCAGCTCAGTCCTTCCCGAGCATGAGCCCATGAACTTGGATTTGTCTCTGCTTCGTGCCGTGACCCCCACTGCAGAAGCAGTCAACACTGGTGTCCTGCAACCAAAAAACAAAATCTAAAGCCGTCAAGTTAATTCCTACTCATAATGACCCTGTTGGACATAGTAGAACTGCCCCATAGGGTTTCCAAGGAATGGCTAGTGGATTCGAGCTGCCAACTTTTGGTTAGCACCTGTCATGGATTAAATTGTGTCCCCTAAAAATACCTGTCAACTTGGTTGGGTCATGATTCCCAGTATTGTATGATTGTGTAATCTGATGAGATTTCCTTACGTGTTGTAAACTCTATCACTATGATGAGGTTATATGTGATCTCCTTATGTGTTGTAAATTCTATCACTGTGATGAGGTTATACTGATGAGGTTTACAAGATTGGATAGTGTCTTAATCCAATCTCTTTTGAGATATAAAAGAGAAAAGCGAGCAGAGATACACGGAAACCTCATATCACCAAGGAAGCAGTGCCAGGAGCAGAGTATGTCCTTTGGACCTGAGGTTCCTGTGCAGAGAAGCTCCCAGAATAAGGGAAGACAGATGTGTCACAAGGAACTTTCTCCAGAGCTGACAGAGAGAGAAAGCCTTCCCCTGGAGCTGATGCCTTGAATTTGGACTTGTAGCCTACTGGACTGTGAGAGAGTAAAATTCTCTTTGTTAAAGCCATCCACTCGTGGTATTTCTGTTAGAGCAGCACTAGATGACTAAGACAGCATCCCAACTCTTAACCACTGCACCACCAGGGCTGGTGTCCTGCAGTCCTGCTTAATTCCCATAAGCCATGACCCACTGCCTCAGGTTCTTGGGCAGGCAGCCCAGTTCACAGAGATGCCCTTCTCCCAGCAACCTTGTCTGACCAGGAGGCCTGAGGGCATTGGAACTGAGCTGTGTTCTTCTGAGAGACTGAATATCCACCTCTGCAAAGAGCCTTCCAGTCTTGGAGGTGGTCAGAGGCCTCAGAATTCTCTGAAGTCTCCATTGCTGGGGATTTCCTGCCTCTAGAGACCTCTACCTTCGGCATCCTTGACCAGCTGCAGAAATACTTGTCTAAACCCTGACCTGAGTAGAGGCTCCAACTAGGAATTCATCAGGGAGGCTCACCTAGCCTCCTCTGACCTACCTTTCCAGATCCATCTCCCGCAACCTCACCCACCCCTCCTCCCAAGATTGCTGTGCACTCCTATACAACACTTACAGTAAGAGGTTTTGGAGGCAAAGAAGAGGGTTCAGATCCTAGGTCCAGAACTCAACAGCTAAGAGCACTTCAACAAGCCTGTCAGTTCTTCACTTGTAGAAAGTACATAGTCATAACAACAATAATGGTAGTACCTACTGACTTTCCTCTCAGGGGTGTTTGAGAATCAATTGATAGATTGTACGTGAGAGTACTTTATAAATAGCAAGTGTTATATAAATGTGTATTCTCTTTTGTTCAGTCACTTTTTTACCTGTGCCTCTGCAGATGCTGTCCCTCTGTGAGGTTCTCTTACCCCATTCCTCCCCCCAGCCAATGCTCTTCAGCCACAGTCCTGCCTAAGCACTTCTTGGGTTCATACCTGAATCCCGATACTTATTAGCTGTGTGACTTTGGGAATGCCTGGAACCTCTCTATGCCTCTCTATGTTTCCAGCATCTTGGTGTGTTATCGTAAGTATTAAGAAAAACAGACACAAAAGAAAAAATCAGTTGCCGTCAAGTCGACCCCAGCTAATGGTGACCCCATACGTGTCAGAGTAAAATTGTGCTCCACAGGGTTTTCAATGACTGATTTTTTGGAAGTAGATCAGCAGGCCTTTCTTCCAAGGCACTTCTTGGTAGACTGGAACCTCCAATCTTTCTGTCAGCAGCTGAGAGTGGTAACTGTTTACACCACCAAGAAACTCCTTCACAAGGATTCCAAACCAAAACCAAAGCTGATGCCGTCGAGTCTATGCCGACTCATAGCGACCCTATAGGACAGAGTAGAATTACCCCATAGGGTTTCCAAGCAATGGCTGGTGGATTTGAACTGCCAATCTTTTGGTTAACAGCTGACCTCTTAACCACTGTGCCACCGGGGCTCCTCACAAAGATTAGAGGAGTCAAAACACTAGTATTTAGGAAAGTGGAAGACTCCAGTGAGTGTTCCTTAGTATTACCATCCCACATCATCTGCTCTTTATGCACCTAGTCGCTGAAGATTCAGAGGGCAGAGAGCTTATTTCCAGCATCTTTGCATGATAGAGCACCCAGTACTTGCTCCCATCATTAGTTCTGGAAATACTGAGCTAAGGATTCCTGGACTCAGGCCTGGAGGTTAAGGATTTCTGAGGTGAAGGCGCCCCCTACTGGCCAAACTCAAAGGCCAGTGATAGTTCCATTTGTGCAGCTGTTATGGGGCTGAGGCCTTGGTTTCCACTGGAAACTCGGTGCTACTCAGGGACTCCCTGGCAGTGCCATTCATGTACATCGTGTATGTACATCATGTACTCCATATATGCAATGTCCAGGATCATCACCAGTAAAGACATTGAAAATATCAGACTCACGTGACTTTATTATGAAAAAGTACCAAAGTGCTGAGCGCAGCCTAGGTCAGGCCTGTTTGCCCCTCCCAGAGCCAGACACAGGTGGATGCTTCTCCCACCAGATATCTTGATCTTGAGGGGCCACTTCTGGAGGTAGCAGAAAGGGAGCTACTTAAGGGAGAAGGTCCACACAGTTCAGAGGAGTGGGAACTCCCAGCCACTTGTGGCCCAACTTCTCAGTCTTGGTGCCACCACGGGAAAGCCTTTATGACAATCACTTAACAGTGCTTAGCACATGCCAGGAACTTTCCTGGGTTAACTAATCTAATCCTCACATCAAACATATGGGTAGTCACTATTACTGTTCCTCCCTGTTTTACAAAAGAGGAAGCAGAGGCGCAGAGAGGCTAACTAACTTGCCCAAAGGCACACAGCCAGTGTGTCTGAATCTGAGATTCAGATCCAGGCAGTCTGGCTCCAGAGTCAATGCTGTTACTCACCACTGCTATGCCACCTCTACCCTCTAGTTTCCTCATCTGTGAAATGGGGATAATAATCCCTCCAGTGGTGTCACTAGGGTTGGTCTCATCCAGTGTGGTAAGTCATCGTGTCACCCCCTCCCTAATTACCATGATGTTGTAACTAAAACAGCAGAAAATGTGACAAAGTCAGTCACTATAAAAACATCAGCAGCAAGGAAAACAGCCGTGCTTGTAGCCAGACCAAAACCAAGTGATCTGAAGCATCATTGTAATTGGGTGATAATGACAGCTCTGACCATAGAGCATTAGAAGGTTCAAAAAGTAAATTAGCATAGTTTTAGACTTGTAGGTATACTGATACATGTAAGCTGGGCTTATTAAAATTTTTTTTATTGTTTAACTACAGGGATATTTATATAAAAAATAAATTTCTGCACAAAAATTTTATAGACCGTCATTTTGGTGTCACCACCTCTGACAGTGTCACTCTCTGCAGTCTGCACCCCTGCACCTCCTTAGTGACGCCACTGAATCCCTCTGATTTTCAGGTTATCATGGGGCTTAAATAAGGGCCAGATGCGAATATGCGTAGGCAATTCTAACATTCTGCCCAAGGATTGTGGACCACCCCGGTCACTAGAAGCTGAGACCCATAAGCACTCGAGGCTCTGGCTGCATCTCTTCCAGCTGAGCATCCCTCCGAGAGCTGGAGGACCAGGCCAGTTGGTGGGCAGACCTAGGGCTGGAGCTCGTACTGCCGCTCAGTGGCCGTGTAGAAGTCCTCTAGCACAGACTGCAGGAACTCGAAGGTGGGCCGCTCCTCAGGCCGGCTGCGCCAGCACTCGCTGATGATGCCGCTGTACAACTCGGGCGGGCACAAGTCCGGGCGCGGCATGCGGTAGCCCCGTTCCAGGCTGCGGATGACCTCAGGGTTGCTCATGCCTGGGCAGGAGGGGGAGAGAGCCTGCGTGAGCAGTTGGGGCAGCTCCGAAGGGCCCCCAAGGAAGTGAGTGGAGTCAGAACGGCCTTTTGGGAGCACTATACTGAGGAAAGAAGGAGAAGCATGGCTTTTTTAAGGCACTGACCACTGTCTCCTCCTTTGCAAGTCGCCTGTCTGCTCCGCTGGCTCTGCCTTTTAAACATCCATCAGTCCATCCACCCACCCACCCATCCATCCGTCCATCCATCCACTCACCCATCCATCAATCCATCCACCCACCCACCCACCCATCCACCCATCCACCCATCCATCCATCCATCCAGTCATCCATCCATTTTTATTGCATGGATCTATTCAATCAACCAATTTTAGTGAACCTTGGAGAACAACTGGAAAACAGGCTGCCGATGTTCTCCTGAATACGGGGCAGTTCCTTAGTGTATGGGGCCGTGTTTTGATAACCTGTGATTCCTCAGGACTCAGCCAAAACCCATCACTCACTGGGCAGGTGCCCCATGAAAACTCACTAATCATCTGACTGAGAGAGACCTTGCAGGCTGCTAAGCTGCCCAAGCCCTTCTGATAGGGAGCTGGGGGACTGGGTGGTCTGGATTTGACAACTGTACCAGCTCTGAATGTGGCTTTTGGGAACACACCATGTATGGCCGAGGTACGACAACCTGTCCTCAACTGAGAACAAGCCGATGGGCGTAAACTTGAATTCAGACCCTGACCTTTAGCTTGATTCCAATTTTGAGGCTTATTGAGAGGAAGAGGACATAAGCCTGTTGCCAAGATCGATGTTGAAGAAGGGGGAGAACCCTCGCCCCAGAGTGGCATGGTCTCTGTATACACAGTCGTGATGCCATTTTGACAAGCACGTGAGTAGCCACAGGCATAAAGGGATAGCGTCATGGATTGAATTTTGTGTCCCCCAAAATATGTGTCAACTTGGTTAGGCCATGTTTCCCAGTATTGTGTGGTTGTCCTCCATTTTGTGATCTGATTACCCTCCATTTTGTGATGTGTTGTAAATCCTAACCTCTGTCTGTGGTTACTGAGGCAGGATTAGGTTATGTTAAAGAGGATTAGGTTATGTTTGTTATGTTAATGAGACAGGATTAGGGTGGTATGCAACACCCTTACTCAGGTCACAGCCCTGATCCTGGAGGTGTGGCCTACATCACCTTTTATCTTACAAGAGCTAAAAGGAGAGAGAAACCAGCAGAGAGAGAGGGACCTCCTAACACCAAGAAAGAAGAGCTGGCAGGAGGCTCCCTGATAAGCAAAGCATTATTGAAGAAAAAGAACAAAGTAGGAGGCCTCACATTAACTGATCTCAGAACCTACTATACGGTAAAGGTAGTCAAAACAGCCTGGTACTGGTACAACAACAGACACATAGACCAATGGAACAGAATGGAGAACCCAAACGTAAATCCAGCCATCTATGAGAAGCTGATATTTGACAAAGGGCCAAAGTCCAGTAAACATGGAAAAGACAATCTTTTTAACAAATGGTGCTGGCATAACTGGATGTCCATCTGTAAAAAAATGAAACAAGACCCATACCTCACACCTTACACAAAAACTAACTCAAAATCAAAGACCAAAATATAAAACCTAAAACGATAAAGATCATGGAGAAAAAAATAGGGACAACGTTAAAACAAAAACAAAAACAAAAAAAACCAAACCAAACCCATTGCCATCAAGTCAATTCTGACTCATAGTGACCCTATAAGACAGAGTAGAACTGCCCCATAAGGTTTCCAAGGAGCAGCTGGTGGATTTGAACTGCCAGCACTTAACCACCGTGCCACTAGGGACAACACTAGGGGCCCTAATACACTGCATAAATCCAATACAAATCATAACTAACAATGCACAAATAGCAGAAGATAAACTAGATAACTAGGAGCTCCTAAAAGTTAAATAATTATGCTCATCAAAACACTTCACCAAAAGAGTAAAAAGAGAACCTACAGATTAGGGAAAATATTTTTGGCTACGACACATCTGACAAACGTCTGACCTCTAAAATCTGTAGAATACTGCAACACCTCAATAACAAAAAGACAATTACTCCTGTTAGAAATTGGGCAAAGGATATGAACCGACACTTAACCGAAGAAGACATTCAGGGGGCTAACAGACACATGAGGAAATACTCGTGATTATTAGCCATTAACCAAAAACCAAACTGATTGCTGTCGAGTCAATTCCGACTCATAGTGATCCTAGATGACAGAGTAGAACTGCCCCACAGAGTTTCCAAGGAGCGGCTGGTGGATTTGAACTGCTGACCTTTCTGTTAGGAGCTGAGGTATTAACCACTGTGCCACCACAGCCCCTATTAGCTATTAGAGAAATGCAAATCAAAACTAGAAAGAGATACCATCTCAACCCAGTATTACTGGCACAAATGAAAAAAAAAAATCCAGGAAATAACAAATGTTATTTCTGGGAGAATGGAACTCCGATGCACTGCTGGTGGGAGTGTAAAATGGTACAACCACTATGGAAAAATGATATGGCGCCTCCTTAAAAAGCTAGAAATAGAAATACCATATGATCCAGAAATCCCACTCCTAGAAATATATCCTACAGAAATAAGAGCCATCATACGAATAGACATATGCACACCCATGCTTATTGCAGCATTATTCACAGTAGCAAAAGATGGAAGCAACCTAAGTGTCCATCAGCAGATGAATGGATAAACAAATTGTGGTACATACACACAGTGGAATACTACACAATGATAGAGAAACATGATGAATCTGCCACATATCTCACAACATGGATGAATCTGGGTGAAGTAAGTCAATCACAAAAGGACAAATACTGTATGAGACCACTATTATAAAAATTCAAGGAAAGGTTAACATACAGAAAGAAACAATCTTTGATGGTTATGAGGGAGAGGAGGGGTAGGGAGGGGAAATCACTAACCAAATAGTAGACAAGTGTTAACTTTGGTGAAAGGAAAGACAACACACAATATAGAGGAAGTCAGCACAACTTGACCAAGGCAAAGGTCGTAGAAGCTTCCTGGACAAATCCAAACACCTTGAGGGACCAACTTTTACTGGGACTGAGGGCTGGGCACCATGGTCTCAGGGAAGATCTAGGTCAATTGGTATAACATAGTTCATAAAGAAAATGTTCTACATCCTACTTTGGTGAGTAGCATCTGCGGTCTTAAAAACATACGAGTAGATATCTAAAAAATATACATGGTCCCATCACATTCAGAGCAAAGGAGAATGAAGAAAACCAAAGACTCAATGAAAATATTAGTCCAAAGGACTAATTGACCATATGAACCACAGCCTCTGCCAGCCTGAGCCCAGAAGAACTAGATGGTGCCCAGCTACCACCACTGACTGCTCTGACAGGGATCACAATAGAGGGTTCCAGACAGAGTGGGAGAAAAAAGTAGAACAAAATTTAAATTCACAAAAAAAGACCACACTTACTGGTCTGATAGAGACTGGAGAAACTCCCTAGACTATGGCTCCCCAGACACACTAACTCAGAACTGTAGCCACTTCCAAAGTCTACCTTTCAGCCAAAGTTGTGACAGGCCTATAAAACAAACAATAACACATGGGAGGAGCATGCTTCTTAGTTCAATCAAGTATATGAGACCAAATGTCCAACATCTGCCCAAAAGCAAAGACAAGAAGGCAGAAAGGGACAGGAAAACTGGATGAATGGACATGGAGAAACTGAGGTGTAAAGGGAAAGGGGGAGAGTGCTGACACATTGCTGGAATTTCAACTAATGTTACAAACCAATTTGTGTATAAATTTTTGAATGATACACTAATTTACGCTATAAACTTCCACCTAAAACACACACAAAAAAAAAAAAGAGCTGGGAGCAGAGTTCGTCCTTTGGACCCAAGCTCCGCAAGGTGAGAAACTCCTAGACCCAGGGGAAGATTGATACAAAGACCTTCCCTCAGAGCCAAGAGAAAGCCAAAGCCTTCCCCTAGAGTCTGTGCCCTGAATTCGGACTTCTAGCCTCCTGAACAGTGAGAGAATAAATTTCTGTTTGTTAAAGCCATCCACTTGTGGTATTTCTGTTATAGCAGCACTAGATAACTAAGACTGATGGACATCTGCCATCAGAGCTGTCTCAGAGCAACAGGGACCACGGAGAGATGCTGCAAGATGCAGCTGCCTACCTGGATATGGTACACGCCCATAAGTGACAATTTCCATCAGAAGGATTCCAAATGACCACACATCTGCTTTGATGGTGAACACTCCAAAGTGGATGGCCTCTGGGGCTGTCCACTTGATGGGGAACTTGGCACCTATAAGAATAGCCAAGAGCAGCTTTGTGATATGTTGACTGTGCATAGTCCTTCCCCCCACCCTGCCCCACACCTCCACTCCCTACTCTTTCTGACCTTCCATCCTGTCCCCACTGCATAGCTTTGCAGGACTTGGCTGGCAGGACATGACAGAAATGCATCCAGGGAGTTACTAAGACACACTAAGAAACATGACTAGGCAAGTGCAGACACTGATTTTCGTCATGAAAGGATCATATGGATGGATAACAAATACCTCTCCCCTGAAAACCCTATGGTGCACAGTTCTACTCTGAAACACGTGGGGGTCTCTGTGAGTCTGAATCCACTTGATGGCAACAGGTTCAGTTTTGGTTGATCATCCTCTTGAGTGCATTAAAAAGAGAGCAAGTGGGCCTCACTGGGCAATGTGTGCTTTCATATGGGACAAAAGAGTACTTTCCCACTCACATGGACCTTGTTTAGTAACATGGGACCCATGACTTGGACAAGTCATTTTAACTTGCCTGAGCCTCAGTTATTCCTCTCCTGCCAAAGAGAAATGATGATACACGACTTACATACCTCCTAAGGTCATTGCAAGGAAGGAATTAAAATCCTGCTGCCCAGGGGAAGCCCTGCTGATGAGGCCGGCCCCCAAAGGCCTCCCACTTTCTAGACCCATGTCAACATTCCAAGTAAACCACATACCTCAACACTTGATTGCCTCCCACTTTGCCTTGCTTTCTTGGTGTCCCCAGCCAGCCTAAAGTTCCCAGAGGGAACAAGCCATACCTATTCTCCTGAATCAACTGATTAATATACTCAACTAATATTAGCTGATCAATTGATAAGTGTATTTGACCACTTCAGATTCTCTTGTGAAGGGGAATTACCTCAGTTCCATCAACAAAATGAAACAGAAATGCTCAGTGAACACCCTAATTCAAATATAAGGTTTTGTTGCCCAGGCTCTGGGCAATGTTTTTCAAGATGCATTCTGTGAAACTCTCCTTCTGTGGAACATTAATGAGAGCTAAGTAGAAAAAAGGAGACCTGGTGGTGCACTCAGCTGCTAAATGAAAAGTTAGTGGTTTGAACCTACCAGCAGCTCTGTGGAAGAAAGATATGGCAGTCTGCTTCCTTCAAGATTTACAGCCTTGGAAACCCTATGGAGTTCAAATTTAGTTTGGGAGACCCCAGGTAAAACAAAGGCAAACTGTTTCTTTGCTGCAGGATTTCTCAGTGCCTTTAATATGCTGATGTGCATTGGGAATCTCCAATCGCCAAGAGAATGAAGTATGTAGTGGTTTCCAACCTACTTCATTACAGAACCATTCCTCAATGGAATATCTTGAGGCACTAGTGTTCTGCAAAACACATTTAGGGAAATGCTGATCTAGGCTGGAATAAGGCCAGAATAGTAGAAACCACACAGCTCTCAGATCTATTTATATAGGACTCTGTTGCAGAGTGTCAAGGAAAAGCCAATGGGAGCTGTGAGGAGTTGGTGGAGCTAAGAGTCAATGTGTTCCTTGTGTTGGGGGCTCTGCTCACCCTCTTGGGCAGTGTATTCACTGTCAATGATCCGGGCCAAGCCAAAGTCAGCTATTTTGCAGCACAAGGTCTCAGACACCAGGATGTTGGCTGCCCTCAAGTCACGGTGGATTGAATTCCTTTGCTCGATGTACGCCATTCCTTCTGCAATCTGAGGAAACAGGTCACACGGTGAAGAACAGTGTGGTGTCCTCCATACAAGAATGAGCCTACCTATCACCCCCTGCACAATCCCTTTGGGATGAGTGGAATGGCCTGCCCTGCCCTCGTTCATACCCACCAGCCTGTCTGTAGAACCAACCTTCTTCCTCTCACAAAGATGGAAAAGGAAGGCTCAGGAGTATGTGTGAGTGTATTGGGGTGGGGGGAGGTGTTGCTGCTGGGAAAGGAGCACACACTCTTTGGTATGGCTAGAATTGCTCATTAACTGAATAAACCTCAGTCCCCTAGAAGGCCATAATGGGAGGAACCCAGCCCCTTGTCATCAGAGACACAAAGGCTCCCTATAGTCCCTCACCACAGCTCTTCTTCTCTGCTTCCAAGTAGCTGCCCTCCAAGTGGCTGCAGGGAAGTGAGAGCACAGTGAAAGCAGGAGAAAAGGAAGGTCTCTTGAGAGGGAGAAGTAAAAAAAAAAGGTCAGGAAGGAGATAGGAATGCAAGAGGAAAAGGAAAGAGTTTCATAGCCTTGGAAAATTGGAAGCATTCTTCTTGGAACCAAGATCTGAACATTTGGCCTCAAGCACATTGCTTGACCTCCCTGAGGGGTCATTGTCCTGATACAGAACATGAAGCAAGTGATCTCTAGGGCACAGAGTTGAGATGAGAGTTGGATGAGATGACATGTGGCAGAGAACCTAGCCCAGTACCTGCCCCATGACAAGCACTCAGTGACCATGAGCAGAATCTGAATGTAGTTGAAGAAGAGGAGACCTGCTTCTGTCTCCCCTGCTTCTGTTCCCTGGATCACCACCACTGCTCTTGTGCTTTTTAGCCAAGGAAACTAAGTAAGACTTTGTTCACTGCATCCCAACTGATGGATGAAGGAAATGAGGCAAAGAATAGAGTGTCAATTTACCTCCACGGACCTGCAATAAGCCTGCATTGAAATTGATCACATTTCTCCTTATGTTCCTATTTGCATTAATTTATTTATGAATCATTAATTCATTAGTTACTTTATTTATTTCTTCATTAAATTATGCAATCCATATACATTTATTAGTGAGGTGCTATGGGGAATAGAAAGCTCTATACTAAATCCTTATAACTAGACAGCATTTAATAGTACTCATTCTGTTAATAAATATTTATTGAACATTGCTAGAAATAAAAAAAAAAATTGAGTAGGGCCAAGGAGAAGAAACTAATATGCACAAGGCTAAGGAGAACACATGAGCTAAGTGCTCTCTATAAGTTTTCTGCCCAGGGAAAACATAATAGAAATGACATTTGACTTGGGTCCTGAATGTTGATTAGGATTCTGTCAGATGGAGAATAGAGTCAAGGTGTCCTGGGCAGAAAGGACAGCCTAAGCGGAGGTTTAGGAGATGCAATGCACAGGGCATTGTGGAGCAGGGAACAATGCCGTGGGACTGCAAAGTAGGACACATGTGGTTGTGGTTGGAGGGGCCTCCTGGGGCAGCCATGGTGACCTTGGAGAAAAGGCCTTAGGAGGCTTCGTATCTCATGCCATAGAGTAGGAAAAAGAGAGCCTGGAAGGACTTTGAGTTTGCGTGTGTGTTTGGGGAGAGGGAAGTCCCTGGGTGGTACAAATGATTAATGCACTCAGCTGCTAACTGAAAAGTTGGAGGCTCGAGTCCACCCAGAGGTGCCTTGGAAGAAAGGACTGGCAATCTACTTCTGAAAAATCAGCCATTGAAAACCCTATGGAGCACAGCTATACTCTGACACATATAGGGTCATGGCAACTGGTTTTGGTTGGTGGGAGGTGTTTGGTGAGGCATTAGCATGATCAGAATGTGGTTTGGAAGCTGTTCACTTGGGAGGTTCTGAGGTTCTGATTTTCTGGTTTCCTAACACCCAGACTCTTGACCACATCTAGGTACTAAACTCAGATGGCTCTTCGTATCTTTTGCCTCTGAGTGACCCAAGATTTCCCAGGGGCTGTAGTGGAGATTGAATAAGAGACAGACGGGAACGACAGAAGGAAAAGAAAGGAAAAAGAAATAGACAGGCTTATCACTGTCATGTGGTTTGAAACCGGTTACCAGTGTTAATTTTCTGAAACCATCTTAACCACCTGCTCAAACCCCCTGCTCACCTCAGTGGAAAAAAGGCACGATGACATCAATTCCTGCATTGATACTAATAGCAGATAAAGTCAAATTAGGTGGGGAGGGGGTGGCATGGTGTGGGAGTGGGGCAGGTTTCCTCTCCATAGCCGGATGTGTGTGTGTGTGTTGATGCATCTCTTAGGCTGACCACAAACCAAAGCTTTCCTGCTGACAGTCCCAGTTTTAACAGACACACACACTGAGGGTCACCAGATGTGTTTTCTTGCCAGTTAGAACCCTAAGCTAAAATTTACTCCTCTCCATTTTGAACTTCACTCACAAAGCCTAGAAAGCTCTGCATGTGAATCCAAGGAACACACAAAGGGGCAGTCCATGAGCAGAGAAGAAGGTCTGATGCTTGCAGTTCCCTGTTGTTAAAAGAGAATTCTTTAGCGCCCAGAGTAGAAACAATGTCCTAGCACTTGTGTGTGGCTCATGCCTGCCCATCAGCCTAGGGCCAAGTCCCAGGGCTGCAGCAAGACTTAGGGCTCCTGGGATCAATGTTTTCAGGATCATCTCCTGCAGAAGGCATTCTGGACACCATCCAAGAACTAAATGAGGTCACAACAAAACACACTTGCCTATTGTGTTAAATGGAACTCTTGCTAACTTTCTGTGGCAAAAAAGACTGGGTGTCCCACAATATTCATTCTCCCTTTCTTCCTTACTCACATCTCATTCTATTATGGCTGCCCAGAATGAAGACTACATTTCACAGGCTCCCTTGCAGCTAGGTATGCCAAGATGACATGGTGGCCAGTGGGATGTAAGAGCAAGTATAGTGGGTAACTTCAGGGACACATTCCTAAATGGAGGAAGATGGACTTTCTTTCCCCTTACATCTTCTTGTAGGCTGCAAAGAAGCTATGAAGGTAAAGCTTGAGGGCCATCTTGGACAATAAGATGACATGCCAAGATATTCAGCATGGTGGAAGAAATCTGGGTCCCTGGTGCTTTTGTGAGGGAGAGCCACCCACTTGCCCTGGACTGCCCACCTCTGGATGTTTATATACTTAAGCCATTATTAATTTGGGTTCTCTGTCCTTTGCAGGTCAAACTGAATCTAACTGATACAACTTCGAAATAGTTGATTATTTTGTTAAGCCACAAAGCACAGAGAAAAGGGCCTAGGGTTTCAGGTCAGTATGAGGCCATTACTCTCTTGTTCTCTCTGCACTTGATAGTTCACAAACCTGGGCCGACATGTCAATCAGTCTTGGGAGGGACAGTCTGCTACCTTCATCTGTCTTCAAGAAATCCAGAAGGCATCCTAAGAAAAGAGATGTTGCAACTCTACTTCTGCAAAATGACCCACCCCTGCTGTGCCAGCCTCTCCAGGAAATAGGTAGTTGCTCTCTTAGATCACTTGGTACACTGAGAAGGAACCCGTCCACAGCTGCAGAGTGCTTTATACTTCATGGAATACCAATCTCAATCCTTACAGCACTCCAGGAGGCAGCTAATATGCTCCCAGCTGCCCAGAGGGAGTTAGGTCTCAGCCAAGTTAAGGGACTCATCTGAGGTTTTACAGCCAGGGGAGCTGGAAATAGAACCTGCTCGTCTGACCCTAAGTTCGGTACTATTTCCTTACACAACTTTCCCATGATAGTATCTTCCTTGCTTCCTTGATCCTTTGCTGACAGAGGTGTTTCTCTTAGCAAGAAAACACCAGAATGGAGAACTGTCACTTGGGGTTTGATACAAGTGGCAAATGCAGCTCCTCCATGGCATCAAAGAACTGGGAAGGAAGCTCACCCAAAGTGCTGCTAAGAGGTGATCAAAGGGACTATTGTGATCCCCAGCATAGTCTCCCACAGTAGACCCCTTTCTAGAAAATTTTAAGGAAATATATTAGCATGGCTATGGCCATAAGGAAGCAGTATGGAGTCAGGGTCATTAGAGAGGTGAGGAGGTCAAAGGCTGAGAGTGTAGTTAGGGGCTTATTTCCCCCTGATCTCCACCAAAGACAAAGGCCTGATCCCAGGCTTACTGCCCCCATGAGCGCTTGGCCACACCATGGACCTCAGAGGCCATCTAGCCCAGCTTCTCTTTTCACGCATGTTGTAAAATGTTTACACAGCTGTAAAGGGTCCCATGGCTGGTAAGTGATAGAGCTGGAACTAGAACCTCATCTCCAGATGCCCAGCCTACTGCTCTTTCGACTTTGCAGTGCTTTGTCTGCCCCAGTAGGCATGAAACAGGGCTGGGCACAGAAGAGGCACTCCAGAAATGTTAGCTGAACTATTCCTGAAGTGAGGACAGAGCTCTATAAGAATTTACCCTTCTATTTCTCTCCCCACTTCCACACACTTGCAACTCCCTAGATCTGCCCAGGGCACAGCAATCCCTGTGGAGATCCCCTGGCCAGCCAAACCCATGGCAGCTGGATCAGCCTCAGACTTCTATCCCCCCAAGCCTGGACCTCTTGCCACGCCTCCCAACTTCAGCAAAGTAATGAAACCCTGTGAAGTGTACCACCTCTGGCCATGTACTCGGTCACGATGTAGATGGGCTCCTTGGTGATCACGGCGTAGAGACGGACCAGTCTCTCATGCTGGAGGGTTTTCATCATGTTGGCCTCACCGAGGAAGGCTTCAGGAGACATAGTTCCTTCCTTCAAGGTCTTGATGGCCACTTTCACATTATTTTTGTAATAACCTGAGCCCAGGGGAGGAGAGAGAATTAAGAAGCCATTAAGAAGGTTGACAGGTTTCTCAGAGGAAATCCCTGAAACCAAAATCTACATAAGCTTCCAAGTGTCATCCTTATTCTAAAGGTGGGGAGACTGAAGCCAGAGAGGCCTACTATGGAAGTAGTCCTGGGTTGAATGTGCAGATTCTGAGGGCAGGGGTAGGGGCCAGGCTTATGCTGCGTAAGATGCCAAAGCTGTTTCAGGCTCTCTTGCTACATTGGTGCCTCAAGCAGTTGAGGAATTTACCCCGCCTGGGAGGGGGAGCCATTTCACCTCTCTGCTCCCATATCCAGGGCCTGGGCTATATCCTTTTGTCCTCCTGCTCCTATCACTATCCCCTACATAATGAATCTTTTCTATCTCATAACAGTTTAATTATGGAAAAAAGCATTACATCCTGTGGCAACATTATGAAGGAGGCAGAGGTGGCGTGGGGGTCTCATTAACTCCTTTCTATGCTTCTATGGCACTCCTTTCTGCTCCTTAAACTACCTGATATCTCCACACTCCCTCCTTACCCCATTAGGGCCCCCATTCATACCCTCCCAGCCTCAGTCAGGTTGAGAAGATGAATACACTCTGACTTTCCCTTCTCAGGGTAGCTGCACTTTAACAGGGACCCAACACCCCGGATAAAGAGTGGAACCCTTGATAGAGGCATCTCAGGTCTTGGCCCTGCAGTGTTTGAGGGTATTGGGAGGCATCGGGATTCTACCTTGAAATCATGCCTGAGAGACATGAACCATTCCAGGAATAAAATAAAGCAGAATATTTTATATTCTGATAGTGTCAATGGTCAGCAGGGGAGCAGTCATCAAATGCAATTTAAATATGAAAATGTAGGGGCCTGGGAGTTAAGTGACTTGGCCAGAGTTACTAATAGGCCAGTGGTTGGCCTTGATCAGACACTTGAATTCCTGGTTCACTGTTCTTCCATGTATAACGTATTATTTACATACAGATGAGCTAAAGCTAAGAAAAGTTAGCAACATGTTGAAGTTCACACACAAGTCAATGGCAAAGCTAGCACTGGGCAGAAAAGAACAAAGGAGGGAATCAATTTAAGGGTGGAGAGAGCTGGATTCTATTCCTACTCCACCACCATGACTATGGGATAAATTATAGCAACCATGGGCAAGTCACTTCAGTGTTCTCTGTCTTGGTGACTTTGTCAGTAAAATGGGTATCTGAGCCTCTGTCCTTTCTCTCTCACAAGTATTTATGCAGAAACTATGATGTACTGTTCAAATAGTGGGTCCTTTGTCTTCAGCGGCCTCTTCTATATTTCAGGATATAGAGCAGGGAGAGAGGCTCCGGGCATGCCATATACTCACCCATCCAGACTTCTCCAAACTGCCCAGACCCGAGTTTCCTGACCAGTTTGAGAGACTGCCTGGGAATTTCCCATTCATCCTGAACCCAGGGGTTCTGAAGAGCCAGGCTTACACAGGGCAGAGTCAGTCTCTGGCACAAACCATCCCCTTTCTCTGCATTAGGGAAGAAAGAGATGGGACTGGAGGTTACCAGAGCAGCCAAAGATTCACACCTCTCCTAGTCGTGTTGCCACTATCAGCTCCCCCACCCCCACCCGCCAGCACACACACACTCTGCTCTTTTTATTAGTTCTGCATAAAGCAGTGTGTCTATCAATGACTTGCTCTCTCTAAGGACATTTAGATTTAAAATACTTGTCACTCTCCACATGGTCGCATGTTGAGCTAGGAGATGGGATTAGGGACACCAACATTGAATCATTATTCTGAGAGTTGCCAACTTTCTTAGGTCCAGCTTTGGGATAATCCTCCCTCCTTCTGTGGCACAAATGATTCACACAGTCCTGGAATCTTAGTGAAAAAGAGATACGAGGGCTCGTCAGCACTACCTCCCCCCCCGCCACCCACTTGGGATGCCTGCTCTTACTAGAATAGTGCTGCACCAGGTCTTGGAGAGAGGGAAAAGTAATCCTGGGGGAGATGTAATAGCCTCCTTCATCCAGCATAAGGATCTTATAGTGTTTGATCACCTCCCCCTGGGTGGTTACATCCTTCACAGACAGGGAAAAGGCACCTAGAGGGTTAATAAAACACACCAATAAGAGAAGTAAGGCATAAAGATAAACTATTAGGTTTGGGATTTGGGCTTCATTTCAATTCACTGAAAAAAAGTTCCTCAAATTCTACTCTACATTTTGGCCACTACTGTTGTAAGTTCCCTCATCTGACCTCAGCCTTTCCACAAGTCTTCCCGATGAGTCCCACCTGACTGTGTCCTTGACATTGCCCCTAAAGCTTCCAAAATTCAGATATGGAATAACATAACTCTGGAGCAGGTGGGACAGTCTCTTAGTAATCACACAGGCCCCCCACTGGGGCACCCAGTCACTCTGGGCCCCTTTGCCATGAAATATTCAGAAATGTAGGGTCATTGTAGGGCCTAGGAGCTTTATTTATTTATTTATTTTTGGGCTATACTCTCACATAACAATAGCAAATCACAACCTCAAGCACCCATGTCCTGGAAGAAAGTATAAGTGGTTTCCCAGTGTATCTGTTCATATTCATTTGCTGCTTGTCCATTTATTTTGTCATCTATGCTACTGTTTGCCTGGAGACAAGCCGTAGGAAATGCCAAAGGTTAAGAATTAGGAGGCAAATTTTTATATTGAGAAACTTCTTTCCATTAACTTAATATTTTTATAAAACAACTCTGTGCAGCTCTCCGGGTACCATGGATCCACTCTAAACTCTAATTTGAGAGATGAGGAAGCTGGGGCCTAAAAGGATGATGTTGCTTGCCAAAGGTTACTTTGCTAGTTAGTGGCAGGTTTGGGAACTGAGCTGAGGGCTCCCAGGTCCTCTCCTTGAGGATGAGACTACTACGACCAATACCACACTTCCCCACCAGGATTCAGGCTTGGACATCTCTTTCTCTCGGGTGTGGATGCTCCATTTTGTCCTTTTGGTCTTCAGGCATCTTTCTTCTCCTGTAAAAACCACCACCCCTGTTCAAACCCCTTCTCCTGTCCTGTTTCTCCTAGCCAATGTGTCTTTCTCATCACTTACTTGCAAAAGAGAGTGCCAAGAGGCTGTCCGCTTAGCCAGTGAACCTTGCTGCTGCCACAGCCCATCCACATACCCCGGCCCCAGCCCAAATACTGCAAACTATTCCCCCCCAACCCCTCCTGCCACCCCAGGTTGGTGCAACTGTGCCGTCCAGCCTCTAAGGAACAAAAGAGCTTGGATGTGGTGAGTTCCTTCATCTGTACCACTGTAGTGAGCAAAAAAGCTTTTCTCCCCGTTTCACAGGCTGCAACAAACTGAGTGAGATGCCCAGCAATAAGCCAAGAAGACCTGGCTCTCCTCCACATAGTTGTATTTTCTGTGAAGCTGCTGAAGCTTATGATTTAGGGTCCCTCACTTGCCTAGGCTCTTCTAAGCTCTTATCTCTCATATTTTTTCCCACAGTTTTGTATTATTCTTAAAGAGGGCCTCCAGAACCTTCAGGTTCACAAAACCAGGATCCACCTGCCTCCATGGTCCATCTGGGCTGCGCTGTGCATGCAGGGCTTGGCTCTCAGAGATTAGGAGGAGTTCTTAACACGGAAAGGACCACTTGCCTTTGGGCTGGTAAACTAGTCTGAGCCTCATCTACAGTTGCCGTCATGTCAACTGACTCATAGTGATCCCGTGAGTGTCAGAGTAGACCTGTGCTCCGTAGGGTTTTCAGTAGCTATTTTTTTAGACGTAGATGTCTTAGTCATCTAGTGTTGCTATAACAGAAATACCACAAGTGGATGGCTTCAACAAAGAGAAATTTATTCTCTCACAGTATAGTAGGCTACAAGTCCAAATTCAGGGCATCACCTCCAGGGGAAGTCTTTCTCTTCTTTGTTGGCTCTGGAAGAAGGTCCTTGTCATCAATCCTCCCCTGGTCTAGGAGCTTTTCAGTGCAGGGGCCCCAGGTCCAAAGGACACGTGCTCCCGGCTCTGCTTTATTGGTGGTATGAGGTCCCCATGTCTCTCTGCTTGGTTCTCTCTTTTATATTTCAAAAGAGACTGGCTTAAGACACAATCTAATCTTGTAGATCTCATCAACGTAACTGCTGCTAATCCATCGCATTAACAGCATAGTGATAGAATTTACAGCACATAGGAAAATCACATCAGGTGACAAAACGGTGGACAATCACACAATACTGGGAATCATGGCCTAGCCATATTGATACCCATAGTTTTGGGGGACACAATTTGATCCATGACAGTAGATCACTAGGCCTTTCTCCTGAGGCATCTCTGGGTGGACTCAAAGCTCCAACCTTTTGGTTAGCACCAAGTCAGTTAACTGCCTACACCACCCAGGGACTCCTAAGCCTCATATAGACACCAATAAACTGAGGCTAAGGGACTTCCTGGAGGCCACATAGGGCTAGAATTTGCTCCCCCTGCTTCTGAAGGCAGTGTTCCTTCCCCTTACTGCATTGCTTCCTGGTGCTCTCTTGTATCTACTGGCTGTGGCTTGGAGATGCACACTGACAGGTCTTGTTTTGGAGTTCTGAGGGGTGTGTGTGTGTGTGTGTGTGTGTGTAAGGGGTGATGTTGCTTGGACAGCCTTGCAGCCTTAGCTCCATCTGGATAATTCCCAGTTTGGGCTAGCTCCCTGGGGTGAGAAAGGACAGGAAGAAATAGGCCAACTCTTAGAAAGCCCCTTCCTCCTCCATAAGAGGGCCCCTTTCCTCCAAAGGGCACCTTAGCAATAGATAATGATTAAAATGACATTTCCAGGGTGAAATTACATGACGACTGGGATTTGCTTCAAAATAATGGGGTGGTGGTGGAGATATAGCTGAAACAAAATTGGCTGAGTTGATAACTTTTGAAGCTGGGTGTTCTGTATATGTTTGAAGTGTTCTACAACAAACAACATTTATGCCATCTTCAGTGATTCTGAAATTGTTTCTTGGACAAAGGTGCTCTGCCATTCAGATAAAATAGTGGTAATATCCTAACATGTAGAAAAAATATGTTTATGGATAGGCTTTTCCCAATATCAAACTTTACCCTTAAGAATTTTCTCTATTCCTTGAACTCTGCTAGAGCTTGTCCAAACCAACATCTTACATGAAATAATTATTGACTCAGCCTCCAAAAATATATGTAGCTATTTTAAATTTAATTCATCCATTTGTGCATTTCAGGAAATTCTACATAGAGCACCCTAACTTCTTAATGCACCCCCCTCTTCCCCAACCTGGCCCTGGCCCTTTAAGGGGCAACAAGACTGAGCAATTTCCCCAGAGCTTCTCAGGATGTTATAAGCAGTTTTCTTTGTCCCAGTTTTTGCTGGTCTGGTGCTTCCCCACTCGCTGAAGTTGTCGAGCCATGAATGAAGCTAAGGGATAGCCCAGTGGGATGTTCCTACTAGGCAAAAACTCTGCCCATTCTCATTACCCCAAGCACAGGAAACCAAAGTCACCGTCCAGCCACCCTTTCACCTCTTCCTGCTCCAATGTCACACTCACCAGTTCCTCTCAAGTTAAACATTGGTCATGAGTTTGTAGCAGGCCCCAACGTGCAGCTCCCTGATGAGCAAAAGCTTCCTTTACCCTGCTTGGGAAATTCCTCTAGGTCACCCCAGGTTAAACCAGAGTGACATATTTTAGAATTTGTGAGTATTCTGAGGCTATTGTGTGACTGAGCCACTGACACTTCGAGCCCCAATGTTTACTCACTGTTGGTCTTGGGTGAGCCATTTCTTTTCTCTGGGTCTCAGTTTCCTCATCTTTCACATGGCAGTGTTGGCCTAGTATCTCAGAGGTCTAAATCTAGTGCAAATGGGTACCAGGAGGCATATGTAATGAGGTTCATATAGCAGGGTGTTTATAATAGCCCTGAAATGGAAACAACCTAAGGTCCGTCAGCAGTAGAATGGATACATAAATTATGGAATATTTACACATTGGATTCTATATAGCAAGGAAAGTGAATGGACTATTAACATACTTAACAACATACAGCTGTCACAATGTTGAGTAAAAGAAGACACAAAAAAATAAAAACAGTATGACTCCATTTTCACAAAGCTGAAAGACAGAAAAAACATAACTGGGCTGTCCAGGCAGCATCTACTTTGAGAAGCTGCCAGGTTCTCTGGGCTGATGTTCCTTCTCTCCATGGAAGCAGGGCCTCTGGTGAGGGCTTACTAGGGGCAAAGGTGTAGCAGGTGGGAGTGGGGCAGAGGGGGACATTTTCTCCTGGGCATAAGTTCAAGGGGGCACCAGATGAAGCGTGGAATGACATTCCACTGCACCACAAATATGAAATGCGCCTGACTGAGACAGCAAACAAAAGGGGAGAACGCATTTCTGCTGACACTTCACTGCTATCAATGTCAATTCATCTTGAAATTGGAGGGGCTGGGCACAGTTTAGAGATTGCCCCTGGGTGCTCATTACCCTCACTAAGGCCCTGCCTGGGAGACACACAGAGAAGGGAGTGTGGGGGCCACTCATGCTTACCTTTATTTGTGTCACTCTGTCTAATAAGGAATGAGCCGACCTTATTGATTGGAGCCAGAAGCTGCCTCTCAGCATCTTTCCGGCCAATCGATCTAAAGAACCACCTGGAAAACGGAAAAGGCAGACAAACCTCAAATAGTGGCTGTGCTTCTCGGAATATTCTTATCCAAACCTCCTTCCTAAGCTGTACCTCTCTCACCAAGAAATCAAATATCTTAGTAAATTAAACGCCACTCTGGTCCCTTTACCTCCTTCTCTTTTTCCATCAGCATGTGGATTTATTGTTTTCTTTAAAGAAAATGAGAATATTATTTTGGTGACCTTTGTTAATTTTGCTTTGGAAAAACGCACCTGACCACCTCCCCACAAAGTACTCATTGTTGCCTGCTTGGGTTTGAATCTCTGACACAAACTGCCACAGGCTCTCAGAGCAGGTGCTCCCGCTATGTTCCCCACTCAGGACGCCCAGGCTGCACATGATTCTTCAGTGTAGCAGTGTCACACTGTTCCGCACACTGTCCCAGACTCACATGGAAAGACTTACACTGTGGCACCAGGCAGGGCTGGGAGTGAGCAGACAAAAAACCTTCGCACAGCAGACATCACTGGAGGCCTTGGAAGAGTGTTTGCTGATCACACCACCCACTGTGGCTCTCAAGCCATCCTGACATTGGGTAAGAGTCCCTGGCTGGTGCCAACAGTTAACATGCTCGGCTGCTAACAAGAAGGTTGGAGTTTCAAGTCCACCCAGAGGCACCTTGAAAGAAAGTCCTGGTGATCTACTTCTGAAAAATCAGCCACAGATGTAACATAGTTTATAAAGAAAATGTTCTAAATTCTACCCTGATGAGTAGCGTCTGGGGTCTTAAAAGCCTGTGAGAAGCCGTCTAAGATACTCCACTGGTCTCACCCCTTCGGGAGCAAGGGAGAATGAAGAAAACAAGATACAAGGGAAAGATTAGTCCAAAGGACTAATGGACCA